CATGCGTCGTGCCGTGGTGGCGATGTCACTATCATGTGTCGTTGAGTGGTCACCAAAACCGTTTTGGGCAATGAATGTCTGTGAACCGAGTCTCTGATTTTTGCTGCGTCTCGCAAATGTAGTTGTATTACATGACATACAATTTTTGGTCAGCTGTTCTGAAACTGGTCATTGGCGGTTGTCCAGATTGACTTCGGCGAGGTGTTGTCTTGAAAAATTGCCGGCTCGAGCTGGTATACTTTGGAAACGGCATGGCTGCCTCGATTTTCGTTGCGGATAAAGCTTATAAACTCAGCTGCGTTCCATCGCACATCCTCTGCGATCAAACCAGACCTCAGCTTACTCATGTACTTCTGCTGACGAAGAACAATTGTGGGAACTTTCTGTTCAATGACGACCTGGGCAACTGTAGCGGCCACACTCATGCTCTGGCTGGCAACGCGGCGAAGTGGCGGCTCCTGGCATATGCGTGCAGATATAGCGGTTCTGTCACCACGCGAAGCTGTCCTCATGCCAAGGATCCTCATGCATTATCGTGACGTGGCTGCAACAGTACAGCAAACTATAAACGAGCATAAATAACAGCCATTCCGCAGCCAGATAATCCCAGGGCAGTCAAGCGATTCATGCATCATGCACAAGTGCAACACAATCAAGCATGATTCAGATCCATGTACAAACCAAGTTGTCCTCAATGGGCTCATGTGGCGCACCGCCGGTTAAGCTTGCGGGAAGAGCTCACACAAAGGAAAGTGACAGGAGGCGAAAACGGCGCGACAGAGACAAGCAGAAAAGGATGATGAGATGAGTTTAGGGAACTAAATTGAAGCTGTATGTCCGGAGCCTACAAAACCCATGCATTCAGTCGGAGCTACCTATTCCGCTTCATTTCTCCAACATTAATTTTTAAGATGCTTGGCTGAGTGGTCGGCCAGTTTTCTCTAACGTATCACAGGATGGAGGTCATTTCGACCGCATAACTAGTGGCTTAATGTTTAATATATATTGATAATATATGATGATGATGATGGCATGCCGTTTCCTGTGTTCAACCTATGAAGGTCGCTTTATGTATGGATAACAAATGTTTCTGCCACCAACGACGTGATATTGTAGACTCAGTCTCATTCGATGATCGCATCTAGTCCTTTGCTCTTGTTCAGTGCATTCAACCTCCCAGAAAAGTACTAAGCTCACATTCTCGATATTATTATAAAGTACACAAGCATTTACATTCTTACGGAAATCACTGCCTACTTAGAACGTTGCCGAGCAGCTCTTCTGACGGCCTCTTATGCGCTCTTATGCCCTGTTAGTAACGCATTCGATATAACGTTTGCGGTTATTTCGGTAGCCTTGAGGACAAATCATGCGTTTCGCTCCTGCTTATTCTAGCTTCCGTGCGTTTCAGTTAAAGTCCTTGCCTTATAATGGTAGCATCAAGAGGATTGTTGTGGTGTCACCGATAGTGCTAAACATGACGGTGTGCACACCTGAAAAAGCCGTCTTCAAACACGATAGAGCCTCTCCTGTCCAAAACGCTGCCAAAAGCTCTCGGACGGCTCAAGGCATCTCGTGCCACGCGAGGCCCCGTACTCTCCAAGTAATTGATATTCTACGAAAACGCGCTGTCATTAAATTTTCCTTGGTAGGGTTCAAACGTTCCGGATCCTAAAAATGGAATGTTAGACTTTGCAAATCCCGAATACCTGAGATATTTTCATTTTTATCCCTTGCCACTGCAATAACGCTGCGGATTGCAACACAGGCATCATGGTAGCATCCCCAGGTTTTCTCGTCTGCCACTACGTCTGTGTTGAAGACAAAACCTTCGAGAATAATGATGATGTCAACACATCAATCCTACTGAAAAGATAGCAGGTTACTCAATTAGAGCATGCCATAACTTTCAACGCACATCACTTAGCGTTGTTTAAACTTCGTAGGTATCGAGGAGGAAAACAAAGCCTGTTTTTAGCTTATTCTTTCCGAGTAATTCCATAGCGTTAAGTCGGATTTTCCGCAGTGAGTGGGTGCAGCTGCCTCTCCAATCTGCCACCATGACTTAACCCACCCCTTTCCCTAAGAAAGCAAACGATGATTTTGGTGGACCTGATCACAGCTAAGGGGAATTCCGGAATGAGAATCAAGCTTAGGATACTTTCAGGTCAGGCACTCTGGTGAATCTATACGATAATATATATATATATTATATATATATATATATACGGAACTATCTAGACGGTCTGCTTGCCGTCAGCGGTAGTGGGACTCTGGTCATTCCAAACTGCACCCTGAGTGCTATTTATCTATTGCAAATTTTCGAAACGTGACCTAGAATATCTATATCCTGCATATCAAACAACATTTCAGGTAAAGATTTTTGGTGGTATGCACGAAGTGCTAGCTGGCATCACTGGCAGCAATCAGCGCGAATTAACTTGTAGAATCTGTCACACTAGGCAAAGTGCTTGAAGCGATACTGGAAATGTTTACGCCCTGACGTTACGTGAGACGGAGCCTTTAGCCACAACCAGTGCTTTAAGCTGGTACCTGCATTTATTGTGAACCAAGCGCATAGAGCTGAGGTGTAGTTTCGCGAAGTGACTCGGGGGCTGGACAGCGAAAAGTGAAGCAGCCTACCTAAAAACATAATTCAGCAAACGGGTCTCTCTCCGGCCCGTTAGCAGATGTAAGGGGGGGGGGGGGAGACCGATTGCCGTATATCACGCAGAGACATATGCAGACACATCTAACGACACAGGTCATGAAGCGGGCGCACAATGACCGCTGCAGTCGAGGCTCTCCGAAACACAAATAACATCACTACAGACCATAATCGGCTAAGCTCCCATCCATCAGATGGCCATCTAGATGTAAAAACTACGGTAAAAATAGCTTGCGAGCCGCCGATGTCACTTATTAGGGACAATGGGTTGATAAATATGTGTCTTAACTTTTGAGGAAAAGTCTAGCCCGGTCTAAAGCTGCGATACGGAGTCAGAGCTGCTTGGCGTCACAAATAACAGGTTGCGCACAGTATGAAGAATTTGTGGTTATCAAATAGCAACTACGGAGTTAGTGAAGATAGCAACAACTGAATGATAATTAGTGGGCAATATTCGGCATACTTCTACCTATTTACAATGCTACGTGATCCATTGCACTGTATTTTTCTGTTATCGGACATGTCTGTGATAGTGCACCAAGCCGTCGTTTGGAGAGCAAGGTCAGACCATCCCAGTGCGGATCAGTCCTTGTCACCTGAGGTCAGCCCTAAATTAACTGAGTCTGCTTTTGAGTTCACTCAAAATACTGATCATGC